TTCCTCTTAGTCACCGTGTCCCCCGGGGGCGGGGCTGGCGGACAGCTAGACGCGGTGTGAGACAGACAGGCAGACAGACAGACAGACAGACAGACAGACAGACAGACAGACAGACAGACAGACAGACAGACAGACAGACAGACAGACAGACAGACAGACAGACTACTTTGCACGCGGACAGACTCGCCGCCTTTGCCGTGCATTTTCAGTTTCCAATTTCTTGTGTACAGGGACCGAGGGGTGCTTTGCATTATCGGGCAGGCGAGCAGGCAGGCGGGCAGGCAGGCAGGCAGAGCTGGCAGGCAGGCAGGGCATCGCAAAGACTTTATCAGTGAGAAATAGCGGGCAAAGGGAATGCCCGTCCTCCGCGCACTTTGGGGGCGGCGTTGGCGGAATCAACTTATTTCTGCCTTTGTCGCCGCGCCGGGCAAGGCTGCCTCGTGACGATACAAGGGCTGCACCGGGGAGGCACCGCGCTGCGCGCTCGCCAGTGTGCCTCCAGCGTCGCTTCAGTCTTGCCCCGCCACTATATAGAACAGCTACACAGAAAAAAAATACTTTGGTGAGGTATTTGACTCGATAGGTTAAATTTGACAGCTGCTATCGAAAAGTCGATGGAGCAACCCATTGGTGGGGTCACGCGTACGTTTCGAGTCCTGTTTATCGACTCTGGAGCTCAAAACGCGTCCAGGGTATTCACCGCCTACAGGTCTTCTGGCCCACTGTGAGACGCCGGGAGAGTCAGGGCCGACAGGGCGTCGCGGTGAAGAGAGCGCTCTCCGGCTCTCCGCGTGCCGATCAGGCCCCGGCCGGCCCTCGGTGCCTTCGGAAAGCCTGGATGCTTGTCACGGAGCAAGCCGCAAGCCACGGGCCAAGGCGAGAGCGAAGGCGAGGGCGAGGCTGCAGGACTGGACACCGAGATCCTTGTCACTAAGCCCGGTGGCGGTGTGGCGGGGATTCCCTTGGCGCCGCGGCGAGCCGTGGCGACTTGGGATTTGGCGCGGATTCTGACGGGAGAGGGAGGGGAGAGAGAGAGAGAGAGAGAGAGAGAGAGAGAGAGAGAGAGAGGAGAGAGAGAGAGAGAGAGAGAGAAAGCACGCGCAAGGTCTTATCGGCCGCCCGGACTTCCCCCCTTTTAGAACTGGTGACGAAGAGTGTGTAGTTCGAGATAGCTGGAAGTCCATAGAGAATTCAGCGATTGTTTCACGTCGACATGTTGCGTTAAATTATCAACTGAATAGACACGTTGCCACACGTTGTCTTGAGAGAGTGCGAAGTGAGTGAGTAAATATGTTTGTTACCCCTTTTTTTCTTGAGTGAGGTGTGTCCTGGCTTCTTTGCACTGCTCCCAAAAGCGGTGCAGCTCTTCCTGGAGCTCCCTTCCTGCTGGTGGGCGACGCTGCGCCTGCACTGCGATAGACATCACAATTTTCGCGGAAACGCGCCGGTCGGCTGGACCGAGGCCGAGCGAGGCCGTGGGCGCTGAGGCAGTGCTATAAGCGCGCGAGTGCAGTGTAGGGGCCGAGGCGGCCGAGGTGTGGACAAAGCGCCAGCCTGCAGTAAAAAAGATAGCCCCTTTGCGCCCCTCGTGATGCGATTATGCTACGGCGGGGCCGAACGACACCTCAGACCCCTGTATTGTTGGGTATTGTTTAGGTTTGCGTCGGGCCCTACGCCCCCCCCCCCCCCCCCCAAGGCCCTTTGCTGGGCGCAGGGCTGCGCGGTACAAAAGCCGCAAGACGGGTAGTGCGGCCCGCAGCCCTTATTTTCCCAGAGAGGAGACTTCCCCACTTCGAGCCCTTTGAGCCCTTTTATGCGCTAGCTCAATACCCATTCAGACAGCGCTTCAAAATGCAGCCGGCCAGATTTTCGGGATTTCGGCTTTGCTTTGGTGGCTGGTGAAAGGGAAAAGAAAAATTTTGAACTCTACACCCCCTCCCCAGTCTTAATGGGGAGGCCTCCTGCTTTACTTCGGTGTTCGGGATGGGAACCGGTGCTATCAGGTACCTGGGGTTAATCCCGTCAGCGACCCAAGCGTTCGCCGGGGGACCCAGTAGGACCCCAAAGCTCAGGCAGTAGGGTGAGAGCACCCAGTACGAAGCTCTTTGAGGGGCGGGACGTAGAGTGAGACGACAGAGAGACAGAGAGAGACTCAGACAGAGAAGAGGTTTGGTGGGAGCTTCTTGTTTTCGTAGGGTTGGTTGTGTACCCCATGGTACCCCCACTGTCCGGCGCTCCCGTACCGAACATACAGCGTTTTAGGCCAGCTTCAAAGGACTTATCATCGCCTCCCCGACGAGTCAAGGAGGCACCACCCGCAACCACACACCGGATGGTCTGGATTGATGGATCAAATACTCCATCGCTCCAGTGCCGAGGCCAACCCGCCGAAGCGGATTGCTTTTTAGACACCCACAGCGGAGTGGCCAGGTGAATGTGACTCTGACCACTACGCTATCACGCTTGTACGTCTGTCAGCGTGTTGGACGACGGGTTTGAGTTGCACTGGGAGGAAGGCGGTCGAAAAATGTAATGAAATGATGGGATTCGATCCCCGGACCCCGCCATCGGGATCACACGACTTTACGCTCTCGGCCACCACGGCCCATGATGAGGGGGTCGGCGTGAGGTGGGTTCTTGACGCAACAGGACTCGACCGACCCGGTCAAAATTTCGCAAGAAGTTGGGGGAGTCGAACCGCCGACCCTGGCACTGAGAACCGACGCCTCTACTCCCTGGACCACCACGTCCCTTGCACGGAGTGGGCTCACGTTCACGGGTTTCAACCACACTGGGTGAGGCAGTAAAATTAAATGGAAATATTTGTTAGGAGTCGAACCTCCGGCATGTGGGTCTGTTGCACACGGCTCCGCTCGGATGGCCTCGAACCACCACCCTTATGATAGTAAGTCGAAAAAACGTATGTGACGCTGGTATTCGAACGCCCGCCTGCGGTAACTCGATCCCACGTCTCGGCTATCACAGCAGTTGTGAAACGCGACGGATCATCTGCTTTCATTAACGTTCGTTGAATGAGATTTTTGATTCTCCTTAAGAAAAACCGTGAGGGCTCGGAAACAGCATGCATAAATAAAGTGGGCGGATTTTTATCTGTCCAAGTGTGTGGAGTAAATTTCCCGTCATTTTTGAACTCTTTGCTGCTGATGCGGCGTTCCCTGGCGGCCCAACCGGAGTGACTTGAAAAACGAATTCGCCCGACGCGCCTCCGCGCTCTCTCCCTCTCCCTCTCTTTCTCTCTCTCTTTCTCGGCACTCCTGGCAGTGTACCCCGCGTCGGGTCTTGCACCGCTGCGCCAAGCCTGCGCCAAGCCTGCGCCAAGCCTGCGCCCCGCTGCGGTAATGGCCAAGTCCTGTTCAGCTTTTCTTCAGATTCGCCGGCAAGCTCGCGACGCGTCAGCCGTCTCGTCCGCCGGGGAGTTTCACGTTACGCTACTTTGCTCTTACACACGGAGCCGAGCCAAAAAGAAGAGGGGGGACTCGGTATTCGAAGCCAGGCCCGAGGACTGAGCGCCTCATCAGCGCGCAAACCGCCCCGCGGCTTGTAGGCCCGGAACAAGTTTGATGCTCATCCCCAGAGGACACTCCGACCTGGCCGCGATCCAAATTAGCTTCGCGCGCTCCGCATACCGATAACCGCACGGCCTCCACCACCACGACCTCCACCACCACGACCTCCAACACCACGACCTCCACCGTTCACCACCATGGCCTCACCACCATGGCCTTCTGCACGGCCTCCACCACCATGGCCTCCACCACCACGGCCCTCTTTACCATGGCCTCAACCACCATGGCCTCCATGGCTTGCACCACCATCATGGCCACTGTCGCCATGTCATGCACGGCCTCCACCACTATGGCCTCAACGGCCTCCACCGCCACGCCTCCACTCCCACGAAATCCACAGTCGCACGGCCTTCACGGCCCCCACGCGGACGACCGCTGCGCCGAGTCCTTCACGGCCAGACAGGCCTTACACGTGCGACGGCCGGCCCGGCGAGGCCACGGCCTCGGCCACGGCCATGGAGGGTTCGGTAGTCTTGGCGGCCTCCGCCCGCCGGCCTCTATGCCCGGCCCAAAGAAAGGTGTCACTCGACAAGTGTGCGGCTCAGGGTGGCACCTGGGCCCCTCGTGAGGCGTGGCGTGGCGGGGCGTGAGCACAAAGCCCGAGGCTCAGCGAGCGGCTCAAGGAGCCGTGCTGTTGTGGTTCGAGCGTTGGAGCGTTCGAGGACCACTTTGCCGTGAGCACTGGCGGCACCGTAGCGCCGCCGCCTTTCTTTGCGTGACAGAATCTATTTTACACCTCGCCACACCTCGCCACACCGAGACAAAAAGTAAAGAAAAGGAAAAGGAAAATTTCGGAGCCAGTATTTGAACCGCGGTCGCTCCGCGCCGTAATCGCAAAGCAGGTGCACGCCGCGTTTCTGTCTTCATGCCCACAATCAAGGCCATTATGCTTGCATCACCCTGGCCGTGCCGTGGGCAAGCCGTGGGCCATGCATAATGCAACGATATTACAGTGGTGCGAGCGAGACAGAGGGGGAGAGAGAGAGAGAGAGAGAGAGAGAGAGAGAGAGAGAGAGGGCGGAGCGGAGCCCCCGGCAGGTAGGCTGTGCCGCCGCCACGTGGGCTGAGCGTGTTGCCTACCGCGTCGTCAGCAGGCGCTCTCCGCGCCTTGACTTGCCTGCACGCCTCTCTCTCTCTCTCTCTCTCTCTCTCTCTCTCTCTCTCTCTCTCTCTCTCTCTCTCTCCTCTCTCTCTCTCTCGTTCCCTGGTAGTGGAAGTGAATCGCGAATCCAGCCGCTCCCCGCTCTCCGCGCGGCAACAGCGCGCTGCCCATGCGTGCTCAGCAACAGCTGCTTCTGCAGCCACTGCAGCGGATCGCGGTCGACGAGCCGGAAAAAAAAAAAAAAAAAAAAGTCTCCGTATGTTTTTGCGCGGACTGTCCTCTGACTGTCTCTTGGATTTTTGTGGTTGCAGGAACCCGAACGACCCCCGCGCCGAGCAGCAAGCGACGAACCACAAGTGGGAGGAGGACCGCGAGACGCGCAGCAGGTTCAAGGACATCCAGTGGGAGAAGTTCGAGATGAGCTCGCAGCTCTACCTCAGCATCAGTAAGTATCCTACATCATGTTTTTCGGTTATTTTTGCAAGTTTTTATTGTTGGCGGTGGCCCGGGCTGGGCCTGACTAGGGCATGCGGGGTTTATGCCGCCGGCGGGCTTGGCTGGTCGTGTAAAAAGAGAGGGGGGGCTGCGGCCCGCGATCTTCGCCATCTACTACCTCCAATTAAAAGTTTAGATGAGTCCGGCATCGTGTTAACATCGATATACTTAATAAATGCAAGATAAGAGAAGAATGCCACCGACGCCCGACCCAAACTGTCAGAGTGCTTCTCGAAAAGTTTCCCTGTTGTGAAGAAAACTGGCCAGGGGGGGGGGAGAGGGCGGAGCAGGAGAAGAGCAGGCATGAGGGGAAAATAGGAGGAAGTTTGGAAAAGTGAATGCGGCCGAAGGTAGGACAAAGAAGAGAGAACAAAGAGGGCAGCAGTGCCTTGCAAGGCAGCAGGTGGGGGGGGCGGGGCGGGGGGCGGGGCGGGCGGGGCGGGCGGGCGGGGCGGGCGGGGCGGGGCGGGGCGGGGCGGGGCGGGGTAGCCGCCGGCAGATCAACCGAGCAGGAAGAGTGTTTCTCCTTGGACGCTCTGCGGATCGCTGTCTCAAAGGTGTAGCGCCACTGCGAGTGACTCGGAGTGACTCCCGCCGCGGGCTGACGGGGCTGTCTGGTCTGACGGGGCGAGGCGAGCCAGGGGCACCGCCAGGGCGATCATCACCGCGGGCAGCACGCGCCGCGCGCAACAGGGACGGGGAAGGCCACACCGGTATTTGCTCAACCAATTAGAAACCGTTTGCGTGGCACCCCTTATTGACTGCCTGCCCGGGCAGGGCCGTGGCAGCGCCGTGGCAGCGCCAGCACACTGATTCCGAGAGTCGCTCTGTCTCTCTCGCACGCGTGCGGCTTCCCGTGTAGGTGTGAGAGAGACAGAGCGACGAAAACGACTCTCGGAATCAGTCTGCAGGGCAGCGCCCCGACCGGGTAACTTGGCGATCGGGCGGAAACCAACCCGGCGGTCTCTGGTTTCCGGGGCAACGGCCGCCGTGCTGCCGTTTGCCGTGGGGAGCCGAGGTACCCGCTCTGCTTAACGGGCACCGGGGGCGAGGCTGTCGGCCACCGGGTCGGGCCGGCCAAGTCAGGAGAAGCATTAGACGGCGCGTCCCGGGAATCGGGAACCGGCCTCTACTCCGTGGAGGCGGGAAGCAGGCATTGTGCTTTCAATTGGCACCCTCACGGCACACCGCCAGAGCCAGCCAGCCAGCTAGCCAACTAGCTAGCCAGCCAGCCAGCCAGCCACCTGCAGAGGCGGCCCCCCGGAGCAGCGCTCGCTCGGTGTGCCAACGCGACGGACAGAAATCGAATTTCGGAATAATTCCCTCCCCCGTCCCTTTCCCTCCCGCGCGAGGGGGCAAAAACTCGCGCAATCATGTGTACACGGCCCCCAAATCACGCGATCATTAGAATCACGCGATCAAGCATCCGAAATCGCCAATTACTTCCCCTTGGTCCCCCCAATCAGCCGAACTTTTCCCCCCCAGTCAGCTTCCCGGTGCTCGCGTAAAGGAAAAACAGCCCCGCGCAATCATTGCGTTTTCCGAATCACGGAACGCCCACCCCCCGCCGCGCGATCGGGAAACAGGGCTGGCACTGGGGACTGGGCTGGCACGGCACTGGCACGGCACTGGCACGGCACGCCGCCCGTTCCCAGGCTTCCGTTTCCAGGTTAGCACTGCGAGTGAGTCCGAGTGTCGGGCCGAGTACCGAGCAGCAGACTGATTCCGAGAGTCGTTTGCTGTCTCTCTCGCACCCATGAGGAACGCCCCACGAGTGCGAGAGAGACAGCAAACGACTCTCGGCATCGGCCCCCTGGACGGCTTGTTCCGCGAACGACCGGGGCGGGGCGCAACTTTGTCGGCCGGGGCGTGCCTCTCCAGTGTTAATTTTAACCCACTAGTCTGGCACACTAGGCGCGGCGCGGCTTAGACTCTGGCAGCCTCGAGTCGCGAATGCATTTTTCCCCGCCGCCCCAAACTTCCAACTGCCTTTCACGCCGAGCGGCGCGCTGCTGCGCTACCTGCGCAGCCCACGACTTCCCGGAGCAAAAACTGGGAAAGAAAAGAAAAAAAAGCGGAAGAAAGGGTCTCACTGCAGCGGCCTTACCGAGCCTTACTCCGCCAGCGATTTATTTGCCTTATATTTCGCGGCCCACTTTTGCTTGTTCTGCTCCGTACACTGTTATTTTTTTGTTGTTGTTTGCGTTTTTTCCGCGGCCCTTGTTTTGGGAATACTCGAGTGCGAATAAACAAGCTCGCACGACTCACAAGTGTAATTTAGCAGGAACGTGGGGCTCGTGCTGGGGCCTGGGGGAAACGGGAGGGGGGGGGCGTCTAGGAGCCGCGGAGGGGAGGGGGAAGGGGGGGGCTACGGGCGCGGAATGAAAACAGAGCCGAAGTCACCGAGAGATGAACGTCTACTAAAAAGAGACTCGGACGTGCGCGGACTGTGAACGCGCCGCAAGCCAGCCGCAGCGAGCCGGGGCGGGGCGGGGCGGGGCGGGCGGTGCGGGGCGGGGCGGGGCGGGCACAACATTGGATGCACATTGCGCCTCGAAGCGATTCTAGGTCTCTAGAAGCGATGTGCCGAAGAAGGCGCGCGAGGCCCCGAACGGGACGGCACCATCCGATCCGGACGGGACGGCGAGGCCGCGGCATGGCAATGCATGCAGTTGTCACGCCTGGCGGCGCCTGGCGGCCGAACGGGCGACCGGGCGGGTCCCGCGTAAACACGCCAGATGGAGCGCCCTCGGCCCGGGGCCCCGGAGCGCTTCCCTGGAGTGCCCCTGCTCCACTGGGCTCCACTGGGCGGCGAAAAGTCGTCGCTACTCCACGACCGCACTGCGTGACGGCGTGGGCGTGACGGCGCGGGGTATTGACAGTGTCTTTGTGTTTGCAGCCCAGAAGCCCCGCCTCAAGAGCCACTACCGCGGCCACCGCATCGCCGTCTGGCTGGACCTGATCCCACAGCTGCACCGCGCCGGCGGCCAGGACGTCGCCATGCGCCACCACCACTTCCACGAGAAGGGCGAGCGCTACTTCTCCGGTAAGAGAAAGCAAAATCCACCCTGGAGCTATCAAAACGCGTCCGGAGTTTTGGCCGCCTGCGCCGGTCCTCTGGCCCACTGTGGAATGTTGACGCACCGAGATCGAGGGCCGTGGGCCGCACGTCGGCCGAGACGACGGCCGAGACGACGGCGAGCAAAGACAAAAGATAAGGCCGCGATGTGATTTGTAGACGCGGAACTGGGTCACGGTGTCGCTGGGCCAGCGACTTGACGGAACGGAGCGGAGCCGGGCGCAAGGCGCAAGGGCCGGCCAGGAGTTTTAAAGAAGTTATCGCCGGGGGGGCGGGGCGGGGGGGTCGGGGGCGCGCGGGGCGGGGCCGGGCGTCACGGCGCTCCGCTGATCCGATCCAGATCCGCAATCGGACATATAATATTCGGGGAGCCGGCCGGTGCGGGCGACCCTGGCCGCGAAGGAGTCGAGTCGGTGAAAAGGACCCGTCAAGGGATGACGGCTGCCTTCCCCTCGCGGGAATCGCGGCGGCGGACGGCGAGCGGGGGGCACTTGGACTTGTCCGGAAGGCGCTGTAAAACGGCCGCCACGCCCCGCCCCGCCCCGTGCCATTCATGATGACAGAGTGTTTACGACTTTGCGGCCCGAACTTGCACCGGCAGCTGTTGCATTGGTTGAGTCGTTGGGAAGTACTCAAAGGATACGACGGCCAAGGTGCGCGCACGTGCACCGGGACGCACGTGTGTGTGTGTGTGTGTGTGTGTGTGTGTGTGTGTGTGTGTGTGTGTGTGTGTGTGTGTGTGTGTGTGTGTGTCTCACAGTGTGAGTGCGCCTTGTGCAGCGCTGTGCCCCACGGAGGAAGGCACGCGGGGGAAGGGAAGGCGAGAGATCGGAAAGGAAGCCGGCGGCCGCCCCAGCTGGAACAGAGCTAGAGCCGCTGGGGCGGGACAGGGGCTGACTCTGTCTCTGTCTCTGTCTCTCTCTCTCGCAGTCCTGCGGGACGCCCGCGAGTGCGATAGAGACAGCGTCCTGCCAGGGGCAAGGGGAGGCTGGGGGAGGCACACCGTAAACTCCTAAGGGCACCGTAAACCGGCAAGCAGCGGCGCATTTGTACCGTTCGATTCCGGGGCCCTGATTTGGGGCCTAAGCCAGTGGCTGCCGGTGGCCGTCCCCGCCGTCCCCTCGCCTCGCCGCGCCTCGCCTTGCCGTCCCAGCAGTGCCGGCAGTGCGCAGCAGCGGGGCTCCTCTCTCGTCTGCTCCCCCTCGCCGAACACCAGGACGAGCACCGCGATGAGGCCGTGGCCGTGCAGCCGACGCCCCACTGTAAGGGCGGCGCGCGTAAAACCGTGGCTTTGAGAGATCTCATTTTTGAAAATGCTCTTCGGCGCTCCTGCTCTTCGGCGGGTGACTTAATTATTTTTTCTCCGCGATTAATCCCCTCCGGCCATTGCGACGCGTAGCGATAGCAGAGCACTTCATCAGCGTGATGGATGGCGTGTTGCGCTAATTCCCGCAATCTGCACCGACTGAGAGTCGTTTCCAGCGCCCGTCGCTCATAAGGCGGCCCCAGTAGGTGCGAGAGAGACAGAGTGCGAAGAAAGCGACTCTCGGAATCAGTCCGCTTCGTCTCTGTCTTTCTCCAGCCCGAGAGCGCCCAATCTTGGCAACTTTTTAATTTCCACCACCTGATTTGCTCCGAGCCAGACTAGGGGCTGCGCAAACACAAACTAGGACGCCCCCCATTCGAAATCTTTCCCCTTTTATACTGCCCTCCTCAGACCGCTGTTTTTCGGAGCGTGACCCACTTCGCTTTCTGCAGGCTCCGTGCGCGCCGAGTCGCCCACACAGTTCCCCGCCGTGCCCGACTTCCTGGTGCCGCCGACGACGGCGACGGCCTCGGGGACGGCGTCCGGGACGGGCGGCGCCGAGTGCCCGCCGACGTCCAACCTCACTGAGCTGGCCGTCGACGAGGACGACGCCGTCAACATGATGCGGCCCAACGAGGTGGTGGACGCCAGCAAGGAGGGCGTCGTCACCGCCTCCACCAACAACAACAAGGCCAACGTCAACAACGACGACGACGACAACGGGCTGTTCCACGGCTTCACGCCCAGCCAGTTCTTCAAGTGAGTACGGTCCTGGGTTCGAACACCAGCGTTTCCTAAAACTAGGGACTTCGCATATCGTGGCTTCGATGCGCGCTCTTCCTGCCCTGTCTATGAGCACGCCTGGAGAGAATCGTCCTGTCTCTGTCGCGCGCTCGTGGAGCGCCCCGTGCTGAGGAGAGAGACAGAGCGACGGCACACTGTTCGGAGGTGGCCTGCGCGCTGCTGCGTGGGCGGATTGAGAGCGACGGGGTGCAGCCAGCCGCAGACCGCGAGACCGCGCTAACCAGGCCCTTCCCTGCCCTTCCCCGCGGCAGTGCTTTCGTCGCTCCGTCTCTCTCGCACTCCCGCCCACCCCGCTGGGGTGCGAGAGAGACGGCGCTGCTGGCTAAATCACTCGCGGACGCCCCGGCGACCTGGACGTCCCGGACTCCGCGCCGCCCGCCGCCCTAACCTTTATGTATCATTGCACCTCGGCGCGTCGCCCCCGCCTCCTCCACTTGGCGTCCTTCGTTTTATCTCCTTTTCTTTTGTCCCAGGATCGTTGTCAGCACCCAATTCAGATGCCCCCCTCCTCGCTGCTCGTTCTACTTCGTCCCCCCCCCTCTCCCTCCCTTCGGCCCGTGGCTGGCCGTGGCGTACGCCCTTTCCCAACAGGCGGAGGCGGTGCGTCCCGTACAACTCAAGTTTTAGTGGCGCAATCTCTCTTCGTCGTCCGCGCTCGCCCTGGGCAGCCCTGGGCTCCAGCACGCACACGCACGCACACACACACACACTGAGGGGCGGTGGCTACCGGGGGTTCCGGGTGCTCAAACGCCCATCGTTCTTTTGGAATGCTCCATTATCAAAAGCCTCCTGCCCTTCGTCTTTCTCGTCAGTAAAAAGAAGGAGAAAAAAGGGGGAAGGGGTAAAATCACCTCCGCGTAGGCATCGGAGGCATTGGAGGCATTGAGGCATTGGAGGCATCGGAGGCATTGGAGGCATTGGAGGCCGGCCCGGCTCACGTGGCCCACGTGCACGTAGTGCCCGCGTCGGCCTGTTTGTGTTTGGACTGGACTACATTATGCAAACCGTCCCGATGATAGCCTTCTGGACCGGCCCTATTCATATTTGCTGAATACGAATTTGATGCGACGCGCCCCTGTTTTGTTGACGCACCGTCCGCACGCCGCGGATCCACGGAGCACGATCCGCGATCCACGAATCCACGATCCGCCAGCCACAAAATTGACTCGATCCATTACGGAGAAAACGGAGTCGAGGTGATAGGCTCTATTCGGAAGCAAGTCAAATCAACGCGCCTATGCAGGCTGATTCCCAGAGTCGCTTTCGTCGCTCTGTCTCTCTCGCACCTGTAGAGGCACAATCGAAACGCACAGGCGATAGAGACAGTTGTGTGCAGGCAGTGTGTGGCGCGGTGCGTTGCCGGCGTCTGGCTGGACGAGGCGGGCACACGTACCGGGTGGTCTGTAAAGTGGACGGTGAAGGTGCGCGTCCGAGCGCCGGAGTACCTGAGCAGCGCCCAGGGCAGCGCCCAGGGCAGCGCCCAGGGCAGCGCCCGCGGGACGTAAACATCGCCATAGTGCATCAATAAATGGGTTTTTGGAAGGGGGCGATCCATGGAAGCCGACTTGACGGACCTGAACTTGCACGTTATACCCTTAGGAAACGGACTTTTCGTGGACGTTGCCGCTACTGGCGCGTCCTACCGTGCTTTCTCACACCATCTCCACGAACTACTTGTTAATGCCTCCCCTCTTTTGCCGCAGGTCGAGCCTGGCGCTGGGCGTGACGCTGGGCGCGGGCGGGCTGCTGCTGGTGCTCAACGTGGTGGTGCTGGTCGCCATCCTGTACCAGCGCGCGCACAAGGCCCGGCGGCGCAAGGCGGAGGGAAGCCCCGGCGGCAGCGGCGGCGGCAGTTCGAGCCAGGACGACGCCTCGGCCGCCTCGGCCACCGCCACCAGCTCGGAGGGGCTGGCCAACGCCACCACCCTCACCTCCCTGGGGGTGACCACGCTGCCGAGGACGCTGCCGCGCGCCAAGCAGGTCAGTGCAGGCAAGCACGTGGCGGGTCGCCCGGTGCGTCGCCCTGGTAGTTCAGCTGCGGCCCTGCGCGTCGTGGGTTTTGACAGTGTGCTTGGTGTTGCAGAACGGCCCGCTGGACGTGCTTCAGGTGGTGGCGGTGGGCCACAACGGGCCCCACGGTGGCCCCCACGGAGGCCACCACGGCGGGCCTCACGGTGGCGGCCACGGCGGTCCCCTCGGAGGTCCCCTCGGCGGGGTGCACGCCGGGGGCGTGCCGCCGCGCTACTCCGGCGTCCCCGCCGCCATCCCCGTGGCCGCGCCGGCGCCCCCGCGGCCGCTGTGCCCCTCCATCGCGGTGGCCGTGCCCGTGCCGCCGCCCATCATCGGCGGGGCCCACGCCCACGGGGCCCACGCCGCCCACACCCCGGGGTCCACGTCGTCGCTGCCCCGCGCCGCCAACGCCCCCAAGAAGCGCGTGCAGATCCAGGAGATCTCGGTCTGAGACTCTGAGACGGCCGGCTGTGCTCCTGCGACATCGCCACAGAGGAACACTTAGCCAGTGTCTGTGCGTGTGCGTGTCTAGACTTCTCTTTCTAGAGTTTTAGTGCGAATGGACGCTATGGCAGAACAAGACTGCTCGTTTATTCTCGGCACGGACATTGTCGCCGAGGTTTGAACCACTGGGTCGGACATCGCTTCCCGAATCAGCGTGTGGCTACCCCGCCTGATATCAGTGTGAACTGGAAATGATACAGGCAACTCACATCGAAATCTCTAGTGGTTATTTTGGAGTCTCTGGTTTGGCATGAACAGTGCTTACTTTATAGCACGATGTCTTTCTTAAGCAAATTTTGTTATTCTGTGCCACAAAGTTGCTACTCAATGCAAAATTATTTTACAGGCAAAATCTTTGCCAAAAACCCTATCTCTGTTTAAAAATTGTTTCACTAAGAAAAAGAATTGTTCTGAGTGCCATGATTCTGTTTGTTTTCTTAGACCTCTCTTCCCACCAAAAACTCTGTTCTTTTTTTGAATAAATCATTTAGAAAACTTTGTTTTTATCTAGAGGTACCTTACTCACAAACAACCACAACTGGAAAGCTACTCAAGTTTGTCACTCTTTGGGGAGGGGGCTTTTAAGCACAAAAACCAGAATGTATATTTGCTACAATTAATTATATTTTAGAAAATACATAACAGAAAATTACACGGTTTGGTTGAAGTTTAAGTTCTATAGTACTCTTTGAGTTCTGGGTCTGTTGGTTTAAGGATGATTCTATCCACTAGATTGACAATCCATCCAGGCTCTAGACCAAAGAAAATCTGGCGTGGGTCCTTTCGTTCTGTCAACATTTTATAATCTGGATCTTCTTCAATTTTAGGTAATGTGTAGCCATACTTCTGAGCCAACACCAAACGTTCATAAGAAATCTAAAAAAGAAAAAAACAAGGAAAAATTATAAATTTTTAAGAGATTTTGAAAAATACTTTCCTTTTTTCAGATACATATTTTTGGTAAATGGTTTACCTTCTCAGGATCTGCTAAGTATCCCCTATTTTTGGGGTTGGTATAGTATTCAATGGCATCTTCAGGAGGAATCATTCGTTTGGGTATTGGTTCTCCTGAAAATGAAAAAAGGTCTGTTACGGACTCCATTTGTTTTTGGTTTAAGAAAGAAAAATGAAATTTGATTTACTGCCTACCACTTTCCAAAAACTTTTTTACATTGGTAAGAGCAAAAAGAGAATGTGGGTCATAAAATGCTGTTGTTATGGTACCACCATTCTTCTCGATTGCTGCTATGACAGGTTCAGTTGTCCATTGAACTTCTATATTAATTTTGGCCTTGAAATTGTCCAAACCCTAAAACAAAATATATTATTCACAAACAAACCAGTGAAATAAAAAGTTTCAAGGTGCACAAAAGAAATTGTACCAACCTCATCAGTCAGCTGAACACCGTAATGTTTTGATTGGGGCTTGATTTCATAATATCCTGTGTTGCAAATTTGAACCAAATCAATTGGTTTGCTGGTGTCAAGACAATCAGTATCAATCATCAACTGAAGTTTAGCCAGTGACAATGGAGGGTATTGTCTCCTCAAACTGTTATGTGAAAGGTTAAATAATTATTATAGTTTTTAATACAAAGTATTGAATCCTCTGATCATGAGGAAAGGATCCATAAAATACTCACTGGTGCCCAACGTAATATGGTTCTGCCGGGAATCTAAGGTAGTACGGATTGTTCCCTGTTTCATAACCCATTCGCATGTAATTCTGACGAGCCAGAGAGCCTTTGTTTCCTGCACCATGCTTGTCACCTCCGTGCTGGGCTCTGCCTCGTTTGCTCTGTACAAACACAAAAGAAAATTAATTTTACTTTAGCGTGTTCCGCATGGAAGCTTCAGACTCACAGTCAGTATCGTAAACCAGCAACCAGATGCAAATATTTTTTTCAAAAAGGTGTAAAATCACTTGCCTTTTTCACGTGGCCAGGATTGGCGGCGATGTTGTAAATCCCTACACGGGGCAAGGTTCTGAGCATAGTTAGGGCCTTTTCATAACCTCTCGAAGCCATGATGAAGCTTTGACTGGTCAGCCCTAACAAAACTAAAGCACGTCAGACTCTATGGATTGTGGATTTTGAAGACAACAATATGCCTGCATTCACAGCACCTTCAAAAAATAAGAGATGAGATGTGAGTAAACAGTCAAAGCCTCAAAATTGTAAGAACAGTGCATCGTTTGAACGTACTGTCTGCTTTCTGCTACTACGATGCGATCAGAGCGCCATCTAGGTGGTGAAAAGGGAAAAGCAGAAACGCATAAACAACCTGTATTTTGTTCTGAATTGTTTTCTTTGGCCGAAACCTTCCCAGTATTTTTGTGTAAATATTGCCTGTTTTTTTCCTGAAACAACATTTTTCCTCCTGATAAAGATGTAATGTAACTCCATGTTCTTCAGTGCGCTACAACAGGTAAAATTGATACTCTTAAACCTTGGCAGGGTTATGTCATTTCAAATGCTTGCAAAGTATCAAAATAGACCTTCAGTGAACTAATTCTTTTTAGTCTTTGACATGTTGACCGAATTTGCAAACCTTTTACCCTATTCCTTCTCTATGTATTTTCTGTCTTGTATGAAAGTCTTGTTTCTGACATTTGTTTTGCATTTTAGGTTCGAATAGGGTCGTGCTGGAAATTTTCTCACTTTTGCCTTAAACCTTGGAACAAAGTTGGAGTAGAGATGCCAAGTTCAATATACCATGAAAAACAGGTATGGAATCTCATGTTTAGCCCAGTATTATCCTACATGTCAAGATTACTAACGATTTCTGTTAAAATCCAAAATTGACTATCTAGGTTCGAGAGCTGTGTGCTTTGCATGCACTGAACAACCTGTTTCAGCAACAAGGTGCTTTTACTAAAGAGGAATTTGATGAGATATGTGGCTCGCTCTCTCCAAACACCTGGATAAACCCACATAAATCAATCATGGGTTTAGGAAATTATGACATAAATGTTATTATGGCTGCATTGCAACGGAAAGGCTATGAAGCAATTTGGTACGATAAGAGAAAGTAAGTCCTAAGTCATGTCTGTTCAAAGCAATTCATATTTAATGTGACAGATTGACTGCATTAAATTTTTCTGTTCACAGGGATCCCAAATGCTTGAACCTGCCTGTTATCCAAGGATTTATATTAAACATTCCTGGTGATTATAAGCTTATGTTTGTTCAACTACTCCTAAGGCGTAAACATTGGGTAGCTATTCGTGAAGTTGAAGGATCCTACTATAATCTTGATTCAAAATTAGATTCACCAGAGCTCATAGGGAAGGTGAGTATCATGCTCATAAATTCCCTCTTAATGTTTGGAATTAAATTAATTTCTTGTGCTTTTTGTTTTTATCTAGGGTGAAGACCTTATTGCCTACCTGAAGAGTCAGCTGGAAAATAAGGAGAAAGAGCTTTTTGTCATAATTCCCCTTGCGATTGAAAGGTCCCAAGTTTGGCAACTACCAGAAGCTAACTCGACACAAGTAACAAGTACTCATTCCACCAACAGCAATGATATAGAAATCACAAGACAGCACACCTCAAGCAGTGGAAGTAGTGGAGCAGGAGGCAGTGGATTCACATTTGGTTGCAATCAGAGGGCATCTGTATCAGAATCACAGTTCACAAGAAGGTAGCTGCAAAGTGCAAATACATCCCTCAAAACTCCTGACTTGGAGTGAATTTGATTAAGCATATGCACTGTGTTTATACATTTGTGAGCAAAAATTGAAATGTTGAAGTGGGATTTCAAATTTGTATGCCATTCCATTTGAACAAGTGGTTGAAAAATGCCATGCATCTTGTTAGCAATAACCAGGGACCACATAATTATGCCTATTTGCATACAAACTTTTTTTTGTGTAGTGGTAAATGTTAGAACTTATTGTTTCTTCAGATTTTATTGTGAAGAACCATACTGTAAATCATTTGAGCAAAAAATAATTTTTTCAGCTGAATTAAACTTTATTATTTTGCAGTCTGTGGAGTTACTTAAAGAAAGTAAGGAATATTTCTGACATTTGCATTTTAATTTTTATGAATAGTTTAATGTAGGGTAAAAACTCTTGTGGGCTGTGTGTGCATTTGATACAAAGTAGATCAATGGCTGTTCTTTACTGTAATTTTGTGCCTTATTGCAACATGTTGGTCTTGTTTTGCACTGTTCACTGACTTTTAACAGCATTTTGATGTCATTATTTTCTCTTTGTAGAAGTTTTTGTCATTTTTCACATTTACTAGGTTGGTGCTAATGAGTAAAGCAGTGAACATTGATTTAAAATGGGTGAATAGATCATGTTGTTCTCAGATGAATTCCATGTCATGACTGCTTTCATGATGTTACAAACTTGTTAGTAATTTTATTGTTGTTATTGTTTTGTTTCTCTTGTTTTATTGTTCATAGGCTTCTGTGTAGGTGAATTGCTCATCATTCATTTAAGTTTAGGCAGCAAATTTGCTTGCTGCTCAGTAAGTCGGAATCACATGAAGACTGTGTTATATCATTCATAGCAGAGCAGGAACTCGTACACACTCGATTAAGGCCTTCTTAATAAGTATTATTTTATTTATTTTTTTGAAAGTTTATTTCACATATAGCTTGTGATGCATGTTATGTAGGTGTGAGGAATAAATGAAATGTTTACTATTTTTTGTCACATTTTAATAGCTTTCCAAAAATGTTTATTACGTGGGAACTTTAACAATAGTATGTACAAGTATATATTAGTTACACTGTGTTACTATCTCCGAACAACTCAAATTGACGCTTGATTTCATGGGTCAGAATAGCTAAGGCAGAACTAACATTAAGACTTTCTACTTTGTTTAACATGGGTATGGTTACGCGAAAACATTTATGTGATTCTTTACAAGATAAAGCATCTTTAGAAAGGCCTTGTGTTTCGCCACCGACTACTAAGTAAATATTACTTATCTGTGGATATGCAACCTGGTAATATGGAAAAGTCGGAAGATCCTTCAAACAGTCTGACTCATCATTACCATCATCGTTAACGACCTCTTCTTGTTGACTTGATGCAAAGCCTTTGTTATCAGCAAACATTACACAAGATTCAGGTTCAAGCTCTTCTTTGATTGCATCCCATTTCATGTTTGGCTGAATATTCAGATGAAAATGAGAGCCCATAGCTGTTCGAAGTACCTTTTCATTCCATAAGTCAACACAACCTGAAACAACAAAGACCCTGGTTGAGCTAAAAAAGATACTAAAACAGATAAACATGAGATAAATTTAAGTTTACCTTGAGTTAAAAGAACTTTTTTACAGCCAGCACTTGCAGCTATTCTTATAATGCTTCCTAGATTGCCAGGATCTCTAACATTATCACAAATGATAGAGAATGGCAATGATGAATTGGATTTAAACTGACTTGTATCAGGCATCTTAAAAAATGCTTTAGATAAAATAAAAATCATGAATAGGATTGAAACAAAACAAAAAGAGTCAGCATAATTGGAACATGGCTGAAATCTGATGAATGTTGCTAAGGCACCACTTACCAATCAGTCCAGAAGTTGTTGTTACTTTTGACCAGCGCTGTAGCCTATCATAAGTAACTTTTTGGAAAAGGCACATAAGAGGCGGCAACTGCAAAGAAACAACATCTTGCAGCCGACTAAAAAACAAGCCTTTGGGATGGAGCTGTGCATCAAAGGCTTCCTGGATGAGACGTTTTCCTTCCAGCCTAATCAATCCTGATTTGCGGCGCTGCTTCACTCCAGATGTGTCCAGTGCCAGACGACTAAGACAAGAATAAACGAGCACTCATCAACGCACTGCTGGCTGACAAAACTTTGAAGACACAGATGAAAAATACCTTAAATCGGAGTCGTCCTTGCCCTTCTTGTGGAAGGGAGGGAATCCTGGAGGAAGGCGAGCTTTCTCGAAATCGTAATCAAGGGGACGTGATTCTTCCTCGTCTACACGGTCATGTTGTGCAATGCCAGACCCTTCGAAGGACACTGAAGAGTGAGTGTCAGAAGCGGCATTTTCCCTGTCTTCTTGCAGTTCGTTGGCTCCCTGCCATGCTCTGGGGTTTCGGTTTAGTCTCCTTGAGTACTGCCGACAGTGTTGCAGAATGCTCCACACCCCTAACCTCCCCGACAGGGCCCACGATGTCATTCTGACAAGACCGGCAAGTGTACTGCAGTGGAAGGGAAGACAGTCTCCTCGGCGCAGGACCTTGGCCAACCTCGAATGGTCTTTTTCAACCAGTAAGGCACAAAATGAACTTGAAACGCAAACACAAGCCGGTCCCAAACAAATACACACAACCGCAGAACAGCAGACGACGCACGCTGCGCATGCACCGCCTTGTGGTGCTTGCTTTTCGGCTCGGTCCCTCCCCCCCTCCTCCTCCCCTCTGCATCCCACGCTCAACGCTCCATGAAATTTCAAATGTTGTCAGCGGTTGGGATTGCCGGCTTCTTCGTTTCGTAGTGCTTGCTCGTGTTTACGTTCAATGTGGATTTGATCCGTACTTCGCGTAGCCTGAGTATCGACTTTACTCAGAATGGCCTGCAACGTAGACGACGTTGATAGTTCTATTTTGGACTCTTCCATTCTCAGCCAAGCGAGTAAGTGCTGTTGTCCCACACACGACTAACCGACATTTGACAACGTCAAAGCTGCTTTTGTTCAATATTAGCTTTGACCTGCATGAACTCAGTACGTACAGACTTCATTCAATGTTAACTCTTTTCTAGGAATAGAAGATGACTCCTGTTCTATATCAAGCGGTGTCTTCAGGGAACCCCGCCGAGGGATTTGGCTGGTGAGAGCTAACACTCATTTAGTGATGTATCGCAAGTAGTTGGTGTTAATCTGAATTGCTCAACTTTAAATTCCTGTCTTTTTTTCACACCTTGCAGCGAAAGCGCAAAAGGAAGACTAGTGGTGAGCGAGATCTTGGTGACTCGGTCAGTGTTTGTTCTTTGGATGTGTCATTGAACTCGGAGCCAGATATGAAAAAGAAGCGGGGTATGTCAAAGGTGGCATCTTTTGCAAACTTGCTGTCAACTCCGATGAAGCCTGTCATGAAGTCATTACAGGTTTGGTGCTTTATTGTTTGTTTGTTGTCAAATTCATTTATTTATTTGTGATGTAATTATTTCATTTACTTGCCTTTTGCAGAGAACCTGGACAACTGGAAAGGGAGACACCCCGAATTCAATGACCAACTCTCCGTACTCTCCGCGAAGGGCATCAATGTGCCCCCCGACACCAACTTCTGCTTCAGCTCCATCTCCCAAAAGCAACAGGCAGGTGCGCCTGCATCGCAGCTGGAGCCAAACCCTGGGCAAGGGAAACGCCCAGCAAGCTTTCCTTGGTTTGAAAGAAACTAAGCGCCAAGAGGTAAACCTTATTTCTCTTCGACTACTACTACTGCTGCTGCGAATTTGAGGATTTGGTTTTGAGTTTCAATCTTCTTATTGCAGGCCATATTCGAACTGTGTGCAGGAGAAGAAAATGTGGTGGAGGATTTGGAATTGCTTCTAGCAACCTATCGTAACTCTTTATTGAATTTGAGAATCCTTACTGAAGATGAAGTGAACTGCATCTTTGGCGATTTGGAACCCATTCTGGCTGCACATCGCCAATTAAAAAAGCAGCTACATGCTCTCAGAGATGAGAATGGAGTTACACATGCCATAGGGGACACTTTGGTTTCCTGGATACCTACCCTAAAGCACTATGTTGGGTACTGCTCAAATCAAGTATGGGCTCGTGCCTTACTTGATGAAAAGAAAGCCACCAACAAGAGGTTCCAAGATTTTCTCAGAAGGTGTCTTGAGTCCTCCTTCAGTCGCAAGCTTGATCTATGGAGCTTCTTAGGTAATGTCACTCTCAATCTGTGTCTCCACTGGAGTCAATGTTAAATAATTCTAAAGATTTGTTTATTTTTCCCAATGCTCAGATGTACCACGCTCGAGACTAGTGAAGTATCCTCTACTTCTCTCCGAAATTCTGAGACTTACTCCTCCAAGCCATGTGGATGCTCTGGTCTTGCCTCATGTATCGACTGCTTTAAGTTCCCTCTTGCGTCAAGTGGATATGGCAACTGGTTCAGCTGAATGCAAACGCACTTTAGAGCGGCTTCACTTTCCACCCAGCACTCCATCAGGTTCACTGAGAAGTGCAAAGCGCTTGCTTGATAAAGCCAACAGTGTAAAATGCTCAGGTGTTCTCAAGGATAAACGTGGAGCAGTAAGTTACCTGGTTCCTTCTAGATCATTTCGCCTGGACAATTAATTTAGGAACAAAAAATTGACCACATTTTCATTTTCAGAAATTGCACTGTTTCCTGTTTGATACATGCTTTGTGGCTGCCAGAACCATGAGGCCTGGCACAAAATTGAATGCTTGTTATCCTGTGATCCCTGCTCGCCATTTGGAGGTGACAGATGCCAACACTGAAAATTCGCAGCGGTCTCAGGATGCTTTCTCATTCTATGTTGGAAATAAAGCTAAGACAAATTCTGCTCTTTGTTTGATGGCTACAGATGAGCATGTTAAGAAACATTGGATTGATTCTTTGAATCAAGTAAGAATTTTACATTTTAATAATTCTATGTTCCTTTCTAATTTTTTATTTGTTAGTATCTCACATTTTTTTAATGTCTAGGTTCTAAACGGTGCCGTGTTCTTGGATGACTCTGATGCTGAGGCTGATACAGGAGATCAGGAGGGAGAACCTGATCAAGAAAACAAATCCCCCAAAGGGGTCAAGAGTAAGTCTCCTGTAAAAGAAAAGAAGCTCACAAAGTCTAAGTCAGCTCGCACTCTTCGTAAATCAAGAACTAGTTTGAAGGAACTCTCAGACACAAAGTTGCAACCATCTCACAGAAGTAATGGAAGGCTGCATCGCATGAGTACCCGAAGCAGTATTGATTGTTTGATTTAAATATGAGTATTTCTGACCCTTCTTTAGCCCTTTCATGATAAGAATGGAAGTTATCATGAATTTTGAAGAGTATTATTTTTCTTTTTTTAATTTTATATAATTTTATATATGTTTTTCTGTGTGTATATATTAAAAAGTGTATGTACTTTATTTTCCTATCTGTTATTCCCTGTGGCAGATTATGAAGTCTTGTGTCATTATTTATTTTTATGTTAAAATCAATTTTGGGATAAGTTGGAAATTTGTAAAATGCCGTCTGTTCTGTACTTCCCTTATTTTGCTTTGTCTACTGACATTTTTTTTAGCACTGAGTGTCCTCAGTGAATTACCTTCCTTTTTTTGGTGTCTCTATTAGTGGATTAGTGTGGCCTGAGCGTACTGCGCTATTTATCATTTCTTACTCTTTTCTTTTTAGTGGTGAACTAAATACAGTATCTTAGGTTCTTCATTCAACCTTGTCAAAACCAAATTGTTTTTTTCTGTTTGCGTGTTTTTGGTAAAAATGTTACTCTTTCCTTCCTTTCTTCCTTCTTTCACTGTTTCCCTGTTCATTTTTGACCTGAGTGAATGTTGCCTGAAATGATGTGTACAGTATTATAATGGTCCTGTTCATGTTGTGATGGTCTTGTTTGAACTCTTTTGTAAATAAGTACTTTCAATTGAAGCGCTATGAAATTGTCCTCATGACGTGTCATGAAGTTCGTTCCTTTCCTTTCATTGGAGCAAAAAGAAAACCCAAAGCTAAGTTATCAGTATTAATCATTGCCCATCAGTAATTTATTATTATTCAAAGGGAATGCTGGTGCTGGGTTACTAATAATATTGGAATAATGTATCAAGTTCCTCTCATTATATATCACCTTATTTAGTTATGGTTTGGCAGCTCATCTGCTCTATTGGAGAAAGTGGACAGTTATACTCAAGCTTATGAGTAATTGTACATTTTAAGTTTCTTGAAATAAAAGTATTTCTTATTTGCACGTGGCTTCAAATTCGATGCTAGTCGACGCCCGACGGATATTCGGCTTCTCTCCACCCCCTTTCCTCGCCGGGTCGCGCTTTGGTCGCGGCCGTCGCGCCGCTGCCACCCCCACCACGCTCCCTCTCCCCCCCCCCCCTCGCCTCGCGCCGCGGCACCGGCGGGCCGGGGGAAGTGCGGGGAAGCGCGCGGCGCAGGGAAGGGAAAGGAGTAGAGCAGCCGCCCAGCCAGCAGCCAGCCAGCAGCAGCCAGTACACAGCGGGAGCGCTGAGCGCAAGCAGCCCGCCTCCGCGTCGCGTGTCCGAGTGAACCATGGCCGGCTTCGCGAGGCCCGGGAACGTACAAGTCGCGAGTGTGTGTGGCAAGGCGTAGCGCGCAGCCTGTCACTCCGCCAGCAGCCCATGTCGCGGACGTCGCGCTGACCGCGGGCCCGCCCTGTGATCCAGACAGCCATCGCGCTTGATTGCGAACGCGCGCGCGCTTGTGTGTCGTGTGAATAAAGCCGTTGCAACCCCCGAAGCGACTGCGCGCCGCGTTTGAGTGCCAATAGTGGTGTGCCAGTGTGGATTACCCTGTGGATTACCCCCAGTGGAAGTGGATCGCCCCAGTGGATTACTCGCCCCAGCGAAGAAGGCCTGCAACACCCCGAACCTAACCCCGTCGGCCGCGGTCGGCCGCCACCCCCACTCTGCCGTCGCGGACCGCCCTGCCCGGCCCTGCCACCCCACCCGCGCGGCACGCAGCAAAGACGGACGGGCAGGTCGCCGTTCCACTGTGAATTTGTGGCCGACGAAACGCAAGGATTGGCAACCAGTGGCGTGGCGTCGGAGTGCCGACGGCCGAGGAAGCCCCTCCGGCGTGGTGCTGTTGTTGTTGGTGGTGGCAGTGGCTGCCCTGGAGCTGGGCTTGGGGCTGGGGCGACCTCCCCAGTGTCGTCCGATTCCTGCTGATCGCGCTCGCAGCACACATGCTGGGCGTTCTCAAGCGCAAATGGAAGCCTAAAAGGTGAGTGAGTCCCAGTTAGTTCGGGGTGCTCGCTCCAGCGGCTCCAGCGGCTCCAGCACACCGCTAGGCTCCTTTCCAGCTATCTGTACCCACCGTGTTCCTGCAATGGGACGCGAACCAAACACGTGATGGCGCCAATGGAGTGCACTGACATTAGAATGTGCTTGACTCGAGTCTCGTAAGGACACAGGCCTAAACGAGTGCTGGGTTTCTTCTGAGCCGCCCCTGAGCCGGCCCTCACACGCACTCACGGGGCGCGGGCCCCGCATAGGCAACCGCCCTGTCTCTCTCGCACCTCCACAGCACGAGCCATGAGTGCGAGAGAGACAGCGACTTAAAGCCCTGTTCGGCGGCATCCCGCTGGCGCGCACGCGCTAACAGACCCAAACGCATACACAGTACTTTCACACACGCACATCTCGGGTCAGAGTATACAAACACAGGCCCAGAGGTGCATACACAGATACACACATGCACTTGCTCGCATTGGTTTGAGGCAAACTGGCGAACAGAGAGGTGACAGTTCTCGGTAAAGGCGGGCACACACACAGGCGCACACACGCAGACACGCAGGGCCCAAAAGCTAGGTCGCCGTCCACGCCGCGTGAATGCCGAGGAGGTTCAAGAAGGCTGAGGAGACCGATTCCGAGAGAGGTTTCCATCGTCGTGTCTCTCTCGCACACCTAACGCTGCTCCGTGAGTGTGAGAGAGACAGAGCGAGCCTGCCCAAATGATACGCCCCACACTGTAAAAAATACCATTAAATTTATGTAGCCAATGGCTTCTTGAATTTTCTTAGCCAGACACGAAAGTGTGTTTAAAGCGCCACTGGCTATGGAAAGGTCACTTTCCAAACCGCGACAGTGAATTTATAGTGCCAGTGGCTTATAAAATTTTCAAGTCGAAATGTGAAATTTACCGCTTGGCTAACAAAACGATGCTTCCCTCAGCCACGACTTTAAATTTGACAGCCCCTTGGCGAAGAAAAATCATAGGTGTGGCAGTGAAAAGGCATCCTACCCTGACGACAGTTATGAAATTTCAAGTCGTGGCTAAGGGAAGGATGCTTTGCTTCGCCGCACCTGGTGGTGGCGACTAGTCCTCGCGAGTCCATGATGAAGCTCCGTCGAGCGCTCTGCCAAGCAGCGGTGCGGTGGCCGAGGGGTCAGGGCACAAGACATCCAAGTTGAAGTTTGGGGTTCTATGCCAACCGCTCGTGCCGCTTTTTTCATCGGCCCGAGACGAATTCTCCTCGCCACAACTAGAAAGTTCACAATATTCGTTCCGAGTATCCTTGCCAGCGCCACGACTCAAAAATTGCCATTTGGCGTAGGAAGAAGCCTTCTGATCGCCAGTGGCCAACAAAATTTCGTGTGCCATGGCGAACGAAATTTCATTGCCATTGGCACACGAAATTCATTAGAAGTATAACTAAGAAGGGGCGTTTCACTAGCCACAACACGAAAATTCGTGTCAAAATTTTTTACAGTGCACCGCGGCCAGGCGGGCGGGGCGGGCGAGGCCTTAGTCGGGCTTGCCTGTCTGTCGAGCGATTCAGAAGAGCGGTTTGTCTCTCTCGCACCCGTACGGAGAGTCCCATGAGTGCGAGAGAGACAGAGCGAAGAAACCGACTCTCGGAATCAGTGTGCTGGGCGTGTTCAAGCACGGCGGCTGCAGCGAGACAGCCTGGCAGCCAAGCGACGTGCATGAGAAGTAGTTGAGCAGTGGAGTAGTGGACGTACCACCTTGCCGCCTTGCCGCGTACCGTGTTAGCGTACGTGGGTGGAGCGGCAGCAAGGCAGCCCGGCCAGCACACTGCCGAGAGTCGTTTACGTCGCTCTGTCTCTCTCGCACCCCGCGCTACGCTCCATGAGAGCGAGAGAGACAGAGCGACGATGGGGCCGCAGCACGCCTCGTGGCGGTGCAGGCGCCTTGACGCTGCAGTCGGAGCGCCCCGCGGTTCCCTGCAGACCGATTCCGAGAGTCGTCGCTCCGTCTCTCTCGCACTCACGGGGCGTCCCGCTCTGGTGCGAGAGAGACAGAGCGACGAAGACGACTCGCGGAATCGGTGTGCTGCGGCCTGCGGCGCTTACTGGCGCACTGGCGCTACTTTTCGCTGGTTAGCGCCTCGCCCAGCCTCGCCCAGCCTCGCCTCGACCCTGCCAGGCCATGCTAAGCACACCTGCGGACTGACGCGCTGCCGCGTGCACCATGGGCAGCTGATGTGTGAAGTGAAGTCATCGATGGCTGGCGTTTGAACCCGGGGCCAACCAAGGGTCTGCGTCCTCCGCGCGTCTGTCTTTTGGGCAAGGTTAGTTTGCCGCGCTGCCTTGACCCCGCGGGCCCCGGCCCTCCTCCGTCGAGGCCCTGGGCCTGGCCCTGGGGCTGGCCCTGGCCTCCCAGGCTTGCCGCACTCGAAATAGACGCCTTTGGAAGTGAAGACAAGGGAGGACGGCGCGGCCGGGCCCCGTCCAAATATACAAGACGCCTGGGGAATCTCACTGCCAGCGCACCGCCTGCCGCCGTGGACCGGAGCCCGCGTGGACGCCGCGCGACGCCAAGCCGGGCCTGCTGCAGGTGGAGCGGCGGCCAGGCCGGGGCGTTCGGGGAAAGTGATGTGCCGACAGACGCGGCCGCCCCGCCCCGCCCCGCCAGTCACGTCACTAGCCGATACCGCGGCGCACAGCCTTACTGATAAGGTGTTCAGACGGGTGTGACAGCCCACAGCGTTCACTGCACTGCTGCGGCCAACAGGTCTCGGTCTCTCCCCTCCCCCCCCCCTCTCTCTCTCCCTCTCTCTCTCTCTCTCTCTCTCTCTCTCTCTCTCTCTCTGCAATCTGGGCCGTAAACTAATTCGGGGGCCCGGTAACGGCGTGGTAACGGCCTGGTACCGGTGGCGTTACGAAACGAGAGAACGCACAGACAGGGTGTCCGTCGGGGCGTACTGGCGTAGGCGCTGTTGGGTAGGGTTGCCTGCTCGCCTCCTGTGCGGCGCGTGGTTGGCAACCCTATGCAGGCGCAGCGCGTCTTGGTCCGCGGCGGTGACGCGGCGCGAGGCGCTCAGGGCCGCCGCCAGCAGCGCGAGCACCGCGTGCATGCAAGCAGCAAGGAAACAGGATAGCACTATCGGGGGGGAGGGGAGGTCGAACGGCAGCACAGAAGGACGGACTCGAAAGTAGGCGAACGCTGAAAAAAAAAGAAGGGACGTAAAAAGTAAGCGTACCGTGTATACCTGCCGGTCGAACAGAACAGGTGGATTCTTTATCACCACGCGCTCCAACACGCTAGACTGCAGAGCTAGAGTTCGACTCGAGAAAACACCCAACCTAAAATAAAAGTGGGTTAGACTGCCGGGAGCGGCGAACCCGGGGTCAGACAGTGCAGGTACCTAGTGCAGTGCCGGCGGTGCGTGCCCTCGGGGGCCTCTGGGGGCCTCTGCATAAGTCGGTGATCGAGCACCGGGGCATCCTGACGGGACCCTTGCAAGAGCGGCTCGTGGCGGCTGGCGGCGGGCCCGTGTTTAGCCCGTCCTAGACTGATGCCGAGAGTCGTTCTCGTCGTTCTGTCTCTCTCGCACCTACACGGGACGCCCCAAGAGGGAGACAGCGCGACAGCCTAGGGCAGCCATAGGGCACTACGCGGTGTGCTGCCCGGCGAGTCACTCGATGGAGTTGTCCTTGGCGGCGCTCGTAGCGTCGCGCGGTCCGGACTGCCTGCTTAGGGCGACCATCACGTCCCGGAGTGTTGTCACCTGATTCATGGAACAGGTTCGACTAGCGTGAATGGGCCGCGCGTCGCTGCGAGTGCGAGAGAGAGGGAGGGCGAGCCGCGCCGGTGGGCCGAATGAAGATGGATGCAGCGCCGCGGCAAATGGGAGTAATGAGGCAGGTGCACGACGGCGCGCCCTGTGTCGAGGCCGCGCCGACGACGCGATGACCGCCTTGTCCTGCTCCCAGACGGGCCGCGCCGCCGCCGTCGACGACGAGCTGGACCCCCAGTCGTTTTCGTCGCTCTCGCACCTACACGGGACGCCCCATGAGTGCGAGGGAGACAGAGCGACGAAGACGACTCTCGGAATGAGTCTGCCTGCACCCACCGCGTCCTCTCCGTACACGTCCGCCCACGCGGCGGCGCGGCAGCGCCACGCGCCAAGGCAAGGCCGGGCAAGGCCGCCACAACAACAACAACACTGACATTTATTGGCGACCCCTTAGCAATACGCGGCGGCACGGCACGGCGGCCCCACTGCGCAGCGCGGCGTTTTTTCGGCGGCAGCGGGGGAGGGGGAACTCTGAATGTATTTAAATTTAAACCCACGTGTGGCCGGGCGGTGTTGACGCGCCGCAGTGTAGCGTCGCCTTCAAGCGCGTCGCTCTGGAGTCGCTTTTGCGCGCGCCGGAAGCCAGGGGCGGGGCCAGGGGCGGGGGCGTGGGGGCAGGAAGAGTCCCCAGCAGACGACGCGCAGCCTGATTCCGAACAGGGCTTCGTCGCTCTGTCTCTCTCGCTTCGCCACGGGCCGCCCCGCGAGTGCGAGAGAGACAGAGCGACGGCGGCGTAGTAAAGGCTGCAGTCGTATCAGCGTGGGTTGCGTCACGTCCCGGCGTAGCGTAGCGCGGTGGGGCTTGCTGCTCGGGTTTGTTTACTATTCGCGAAGCCCGCGGCCGGGCCAGTGTGACCTGCCCGAACGGCAAAACAAAGCCGACACACTAGTCGTTTCTTTCAGCAGGGCCGGCCGGCACTCTTCAAACGAGGAAGCCCCACCTTCTTTCACCGTTCCGCTCCTACCGGAACTTGAACCGCACAATAATACCTTGGGGCACGCACGCTCAATCTTTTTTTTTGCGCGGAGGCTTTGCTTACGTAGTACACCTGCTGCACGGCCTGCACGGCCTGCACGGGCTGTTGGGCGAGCGGAGGCAGCCACCCAAGCATGCAGCCGCTGCGGCACGGGGCTGGGCGGCTGCGGACTGTCTCTCTCGCACTCATGCGGCGTCCCGTGT